ATAGTTGTCTCAACCTAATAAACTTCCAATTCTTTCATTAACTTATTTATTTTGGACATTGGCTGTGTTAGTCATCTTTTCATCACTATCATAAATTGCCTTAGGTAAACAGTTTAAAAAGAAGGAAAGGTTTATTTGGGCGGATTGTTTCAGAGCTTCCAGTCCATGGTTGTTTGATCCTGTTGCTTCGGGCCTGCGGCTGCACAGAACGTCATGGCAGGACGGTGGGCTGCAGGAGGCTCTTCACCTCATGGTGGCTGGGAAATAAAAGAAAGAGAAGAAGGGCCAGGTCTTCAGATCCCCTTCAAGGGGATATAAAGGGCCAGGGTTTTTATATTGCTTTCAAGTCCCCAATTGCTTCTTCCCCCCAAGTCCCAATTCCTACAGTCTCTCCCAAAAGCACCACAGGCGAGTGGCCAAGCCTTTAACATGTGGGCCTTCGTGGGACATTGTAGATCCAAGCCACAGCAGTGGGGGTACCTGCAACACCATAAGTCCTCTCACTGCTCAGGAACCCTAGTGCAGAGTCCACTTAGCCAACAGGAAGACAGCACATAAACACTGAGTGGCCCGGTGACCTCGCCCAGTGACCTCTCACACAGACACCTGATGTGTGGTCTCTTCTCTGTGTCTCTGTCCAGCCCACCCACCACTCAACAGGGAGATCTCCAGAGATGGTGACTGCAGTCCCCCCAGAACCACCATCAGCTGCACGTTCTCCAGGGGCCAGTAGAGCATTAGAGGAAAAGCTGTCCTAGCACTTTTTATGCAGCACAGTAAGGAAGACTTGATTTAATGGGGAGACTGTGGAGCCGGATATGGGGTCCAGGCAGTGAAGACAGATCTCAGCTGGGATCCACTCCATTCATTTCCTCCTGTGGAAGCCCCCAGCCACATGGGCTCCCTGGCCTTCTCTCAGCAGGGTCTCCCTCCCCAGTCCCATTCCTGGAGCTCCCACCCCTCCAGGGCCCATCTCCTGGGTTGAGACTCTCCATCTGCCTTCTCTCCCACAAGACGACAGCACCCTTGAGGGCAGAGGCTGCAGCCATTCCAAGATTTCACGCAGAGCCAGGAACATGGAGGTGCACAAGATTCATTGATGAAGTAGAGAAAGAAAGAGGAAGGATGGAGGGAAGGGAACACTTCCCATTTTTACCATAAGGAGGAGGGTTGATTTTATTTCATCATTGCTCAGTTTGTTGTGTTTTATTTTAGTGTTATTTTGCTTATGGCTCTTCTGGCTCATCTCTTTTCCTTTTCTCTGCAGTCACTGCCAGACTCTCTCAGAGTCTGTTGACCCAGCCAATCCGTCTCTACAATAATGGCAGCCATTTATTAAGCTCTGTGCAAGCAAATTATATAGGCTGTTTTCTTGTAGACAGCAACTCAGCGCTTGAAGATAGGTGTTCTCCCTATATGAAAGACTGGTAAGTCCAGCTGGTGAGGAGTGTGACTGAGATTTGGCCCTGATTTATCTGGAACCACAGCCTTTGCTCACTACCATACTCAGATTGCCTCTCCTTCACCACACTGCCCAGGGGGGTCAGGCACACACCCACCACCTCGGCCTGACGTCCGCTTGGACCCTCCATCCTGGCATTTCCCTCTCTGAAAAACTCCACAAAAGGACAGCAAGACGAATGCTGGATTCTTCTGCTAATTAACTGGCAGAATAATGCAATGGTGCCCTTCAAAGTTACCCCCACTAGTGACTAATTTTTTAAGTAGTTTTTATGGTGCATGTTGTTTATTTTTTGTATCACTATGAATCCATAGATTTTTATAGAATCATTGCACTTGAATCTATTGCAGTCGTTGTTTGATTTTCATCGTTCAAATTCCTCCATCTTTGGCCATTCTTTTCATTGACTCTTGGATCCTTTTGCAGAACCTGGTATCTCTGATGGCTTCTGTTATGGTTTGGATCAGGAATGTCCCCCTCAGGCTCATGTGCTGAATGAGGGCTTGGTCCCCAATGCAGCAAAGTCCAGAGATGGGGGTTGGGGGAAGTGATTGGATCATGAGGGCTCTGACCTCATCAGTGGATTAATCCATTGAGGGATTCAGAACTAGATGGGTTGAGGGAGGTGGTAGAGACTATAGGAGGTGGCACCTCATTAGAGGGAGTGGGTCCTGGGGGGTCTACTCTTGGGGACCATATCTTGTCCCTGGCCCTTTCTCCTCTCCCTGCTTCGAGGTAGAATGGACTGAGGAGCTTCCTGCCATGTCCTGTCGCCTTGATGTCCTGCCTTACCTCAAGCCCAAAGCAACAGAGATGGCCAACCACGGACTGAAATCTCCGAAACAGTGAGTCAGAATAAACCTATGCTCCTTTAAGTTGTTTTTCTCAGGCATTTTGTTTATCAATGAGAAACTGATGATCAGATCATCGGTCTCTGTGCCTTCAGGCTAAACAAGATGTGTCACTTCACCCTGCACATTTGCCTCTTCAGACCTGTAATCAAAGGCGCCCTTATTCCTAGGAAATGATATTTAGAGACCAGAACGTGGGGGTAGAAATAGACATTGCTACTGGGATGTTTTTACTTGTAGGTCTTTTCAGCAGGGAGAGCTAGGAAATGTAAATTTGTTTTCAAAGAGAAAAATTAACCATGAATTCATGCTGCTATGTTCAGCACCTTCCTATTGGAATGTTAGACTGAAAATCTCGGGTACTAGTACTAACAACACTATTACTCATTTGTCTGAAATCACTTTATGTACTTTAAGAAGGGACATAAGTTTCAAAACAATAGCACCAGTATTATTACTAACAGTAAGATGAATGAGTACAGGGCGAGATTTCATGGGTTTTTCTTGGTCTTCAACATACATGCCACCAGAGAGTGTAAAATAAAAATACTGTTACAGAGTCATTTGAAGTAAATGAAGGTCTGTGATTTTGTTGCTGACGTGATAGACAGCTTAGTTAGTTGATTTCTGTTTTATGGGTATTTTTAGAGATCATTTTGTTTTATGTTTCCCTTTGATTTTGTTTTATAAGTATAAAATGTTTATTTTCTAGAGTTAAAACCATAAAACAAGAGACATTCAGAGAAGTCTAGAGTTCTTTCTTTCCTCACTCCCATTCTCCCCCCTCTCAGACGATGGCAATTTTAATTAACATTTGCTTTATCATCCTGTTGTTTCTATGTAAAAACAGGCAAATATGCGCATGTGTGCAGGCTGCACCATGTATAATGACCATTCTTCACATACGTCTTCCTATGCTTCTGAGTGAGTCTCCCACACTCATAACTGAAATCTGGGTGAGTGAGGCCAGGCCATTGCCCTGGGGTGACTTTGTTGCCTTGGTAGGTCCCTCTCACCCGCATCCCAGGCCATTAGTTCCCTTGGGGTAGGGCGGGGAGGCTGAGCAGGGCATGCGGGGACCACCATCACCCTCAGCCAGAGCAGCCACACTTCTGTTCTACACATTTGACATACACATCAAATTTGGTTGGAAAAGTGGTTTCCACTAACTGAAGGGAAAATCCTAAGAGAAAATGACCACATGCCAACATCCAGCCGAAGCCTGCAGCTGCTTGCAGGCCACAGGCTTCATGCAGCTGCTGGGATGGGGTGGGCTCCCTTTCTGGGGTGGCCTGATCTTCAGTCCCAAGAAAACCCAGGTGGAGGAGAAGGGGAAGGCCTTGTCCATCCCTGTCAAGACGCCCTTATGGAGGGAGTTCCTACACACATTTGTGAAATGTCTCAGATTAAAGAGATAAGAAAATACAAAGGAAATTGAAGAGGTTGCTAGAGATCGAAGCAAACTGTCATTTCACCCTGAGTATATAAAATTAAAAATGCCCTCCAGATATGGCATTAAATCACCTCAAAATTGGCAGTCCCAATGAAAGATGGGTGTGCACCAACCAACGGGTCATGACTAAAAGGCTCAGGGGTCACTCCAGATGAACTGGGCTAACTGGGCGACGCAAAATAACTACACAAGAGACACAAATACCTTTTTGTTTGGGGTCGCAGTGATGGCTCCTCTGACCTTAAGGGTCCGCAGGAAGAGAGAGAGCGAGAGCACACGCTGACCCCTTTTATTGAGGAGAAGCTATTCAAATGAGGCAAGGGGTCAGGTTTCAGGGGACTGAGTCTATCTTCATGATGTCCACTGCCAGCAGGTTGACTGACACTTGGGTAGGCCACACCCAAGGGCACAGTAAGAGGAGGGGACACACACAAGGCACTTCCATGGAAGATTCTATCCTAAACAGGGCAAGGGGTTATAATACAAAGGAACAGGTGAGCGTAGCTTCACCCATGGGACTGTAGCAAGACACACCCATGCAGGAGACGCTGACCCTCAGACCCAAGAAGGGTGGGGAAAGCTCTGCCACATTTCTGTGACTGAGCGCCTCAGCACCCAGCCAGGGAGTGTGACTCAGTCACGTGTAAGGTTGGTCTCCCACATATGCACTGAGTTTCTTTTGTTCTTTGCTATATCTCCCTCTAACCCACAAAAAAAAAACCCACTCTTGATTGTGCAAGTGGGCAGGCAGCTGACACAAACCACACACATGTGCGCGCACACACACACACACACACCTTGCACCCCAAAACCCCAGGCTCCCTGGACATGTCACGACTATTACACAGTGCATGGAACCATGGCTGGTTTATAGTAGGTGCTCAGCAAACATTTCTGGAATGGACCAATGAATGTAAATAAGTTTTTCCATTTTAATGAATCAAATGGGTAAAAGGCACAAACTTGATTTGTCCCTGTAAAATGCTTTCCAGTCTCTGTTCTGGACATATTTCAAGAAATGATATCAAAAGTAGCATTTTCTTTGGTGAGCGTTTTCCATTCCCATAAACCACAGCCCAGAAGGAAGGTGTTGTCAGTCTGTGTCCCGTGATGCTTTGAATCTGAAGTGTAGCTAGGGCCTGGCACAGCTCTGAGAAAGCTCTTTATGAGGTCATCATGTCACCCTTGCCAGATCTCCCCAGAGAGAGACACGTCAAGCCCTTGAGGCCTCACAATGCCTCGCCTTGCCAACTCTCTTCTAAAAAGCATCATTAGCAGAGGTCAGTTTGATGGCGTCAGGAGGAAGCAATGCCTCCAGTATCTGAAAGGCCTGAGAGCGCTGCAGCACGATGGGTTTCAGACCGTGTATTTTGGGGAAACTGATATCCCAGAAAGTCTCGTGACCGGGGAAGAACTTGGTAATGGATATTTCGTGCAAACTCCAACTTGGTGTATCGTGCACGCAGGAGGCAGTCAAGGATGGGTGCCGTGGAAATACCGGACGTTTCTAAGAGATGAGCTGTGCACCAAGCAGGAAGACCACCTCTTCTTCGAGTTCTGTGATGTGGTGAAGAAGAACTATGGGAAGTGTGCCATCGTGGTCAAAGGGAGGAGGCAGCAGGATGAGACGAGGCCCCAGGAACACAGAGAGGCCGAGGTCCAGGCCAACCTCCCAACAGTCATTAACTTAACAAGCATAGTGTGCTGCCCAGAGGTGGCCAAGTCCTACGGCCATAAACTGCTCTGTCTGCCCTCCCATTACAACTACCTGAACCCTTTAGACTCAGCCTGGTGTTCTCTGAAGTGGTTTATCATCAATAACAGGAGGGAGTTCTGTCTGCAGTCCATCGACAGCGTCTACTCCTACCAGTACATCCTACTAAGTGATTTAATCAGCAAAGGGATTGAAAGGATAAACCTAAGCAAGTGGAAAACACTAACCAACAAAGTTCGCAGATGGGAAAATTACTATCTTGGGAAATTTTCTTAAGGGCAATTCCTCCAACACGATGTGAGGCCCCGCTACACATATGGTCTTTACCTCCAATGCTGTCAAGCTTGATTCTGGACTATTGCCCCAAAGACATTTCAACAGCGACCGCACAGGGCCTGGGGAGGCCAGAGAAGTTCCCAAGGATGTCAGAAGGTCCTGAGTTTACTGGAGGCTTCATTAAAGCTTGTTAGTAATTTAGGCATCTCCGCTCTCATCTTGTTAAGGTAACTTTGAGGGTTGGGTCAATGGGAGGATTAGGGCCAACCAACCCAAAGTTTGGTGGCCTACAAGGGTAGGCAGAGCTAAAGCGTGTGTGGCCACATGTAGGCCTTAGAAAAAAACAGAGAACCAAGTGAGTCTGCAGTTTTAAGAAGTCAAAAGTAAGTAGCATAGCGACCAGTTTCAGGCCACCAAAACAATGTCCAGGGAGCCCCTTGTCATCTGCAAGAGACATTGTCCAAATGGTGGCCAAGCAGGATGCTGTCTTTCCTATTATCCCTCTGTCCTCATCAGCAAGGAGGTGGAGGGTGAGTGGGAGGCATTGGAGGATATGGAACCCCATCCAGACCCTCTGAGGCAAGTTGGTGTTCCCTACAAGGGGCTTGGGAAGAGATGGCAGGGATGAGTCAGGTGGGACTTGGGTGAATAAGTGCCATAAATGAGGTCTGTGGAACCCATTTGTCCAACCAACCCTCCATCCAACTCCAAGAACCCCAGCAGGGAGTCACTAGAGTTTGCCATGGAACTTCATCAGGACCCTGTAGCTGAGACACCTGATTGGTATAACAACCCCACATCCAAGTTTGGGGCCACCCCTAATGTAGGTTGTAAGGATTTGTGGTTGTATTTTTATAGTTATAGAAAAAAATTCCTGACCCCCATTAAACGCATCATAAAATTCACGCCTGTTTACGTGTGTGCAAGCAGTAATTTTACAATAGAAGTAATCACCCTGAGGTGTGTGAAAAGTAACTCACGTGGGATAATAAGAAAGGCGGGGGTACATGGGAATTTTGTGCTTTTTGCTCAGTGTTGCTGTGAGCCTAAAATACAGCTCAAAAAATTAAGTCTATTTAGAAATAACTTAGGAAAGTTTCTCTTCGATTCCTGAAAGACTGAACTGTGTAGAAGTTCGTGAGACCAGGTTCCTGACAGCAGAGTGCAGAAACCATCATTTTCTTTGCTTGTCTGCGTTCCCTCCTGAACCTCCTGATATTATTCAGAAAGGCTTCACCAGATGAAAATTGACATTTGATGCTCTTTGGCAACTAATTAGTACAGCTTTTGTTGTTGAGAAGGGAATCCTAGTATGCATTTTAACTGGGGGTTCAGCTTACCCCAAAGAGCCAGCCACTCAGAACTATGAAGCCGAGTTGCTGCAGATGCTACTTTGGGGCCAATGGCACTGAATCAGTTTGCTGTGGCTGCTGTAACAAATTACCACAAATGTGGTGGTTAAAAATAATGGGAATTTACTCTCCCCCGGTTCTGGGGCCAGAAGTCAGAAAACAATTCCAGTGAGCTAAAATGAAGGTATTAACAGGGCAGCACCCCTCTGAAGTTTGGGGGACATGTTCTCTGCTTCTTCCAGCCTCAGATGGCCACCAGAGTTCCTTGTAGCCTTACCACCTTCTCCTCCTCTGTGCAAATCTCCCTCTGCCTCCCTCTTACTCTCATCTCTGTATTTAGGGCCCACAGGAATAGTCCAAAATCATCTTCACATCCTAAAATCCTTAACTTGACTGGCTACAAAAGGACCCTTTTCCCTGTAATCCTCCTGGCTCTGGGAATTAGGACTGGGATCCATTTGGGGACCATTATTCAGTCAAGTCCTGCTGCTAACGAAATTCTGCATTTCTCCTTGGCAACTAGCCTGGCGAGACAACTCTTCTTTGCAGAGTATTTGCATAGCCTTTTTCTCTGTCACTTAGGTTTTAGGATTTAAATTCCTTGAGGGAAAGTTAATAGTATTCAGACTTCCTTGGTCACTTCATCATGCTATCACTGTGCAGGTCCACATGTGAGTGGCCTGAGTTTTGGGATATGAGTGGGCTTTGCCTCAACACCACACTTATCACACACGTATGATGCGAGGGCTTCCTGACAGGAAGATTGGATTCTGCTCCCAAACCTCGTGTCACTATTCCTGCACGTCTCTGGGTGAGTCAGTTACTCATTTAACTAAGTGAGTTTACATTTGATCCCAATGGCCAGATGTTGAGAGCCACAGCCGAGTCGGAATGGCCCCTGGCATTTTGCCAGAAGTAATGGTTGAGAGGTGAGCCATTAAGATGATGCTGGATTGATTCAATTGTATATTAGACCTTTACTGTCCGGTATAGGGCGGTATAGGGCGGCTCTTGCTGCCTCGGGCGCCCGCTACTTTGGAATTCCCGTTGAGTTCTCCTGGGATTCCTAGAGTGAGTGTGCTGTGCGCAGCCTGGTGGAGGGAGATTGGGCACGCGGAGCCCGGTGGAAGGAGTGTGTTCCCGAGTAGTGTGTGTGCAGTGCCGGTGAGAGTTGGGGAATAAAGAGTTGCTGTTTGAACCTACAAGGCTTTATGGCGGCTCGGTTATTTGTGTCCAGCCAGACTGAGGCAGCCAGAGATATAGGAATGACTATTATCTGTAAATTTTATCAGCAGGAAAACCTGAGGCACAGAGATTGTGTAGCTCGCTGCCTCTCAGAGGACTAAGATTCCAATCCAGAGCTCCTCTGTGGCCAGAGCCATTATTCAGGCTGCCACTTCCCAAGGAGAAACTCATCCCAACCTCAAGACAACCCCACCAGGTGGTGCTCATCTCTCCCACTTCTCAGGGGAGGAAACAGAGACATGGGCAAGTCACGAGGACAGTCAGATTCTCCAGCCCGTGCTCCTAACCACCAGGCTGAGCTTGGTTGTTGAAGCCCAGATTTTCTTGTCACATCAGATATCAGCTGGCAAAATGACCATCTCCAGCTGGACATCAGAACAAAAGTGCATTTCCATGCAAAATTGAGGAGGAGGCAAAATACCTTTGAAAGATACATTATTTTGCAGTGAGAAAAATAATTGCATGTGTTTAGGCTATCAGATGAACAAGATAAACCAACAGGAGCTGTTTTTGTTTGAGAACCAAAACAATTTAATAAAATGGGTTTAGAATTCCATTCCTTTGAGGCCTTGTTTAATCGTTAGAAAAGCAAGCAGAGGAAAGAGGACATCAGTATAAACAGAGAGATCAAAGGGGCCACCTACAATGTGCAATTTAGTTACATAAGGTTGCATTCATAATTAAGAAATGTTGGTTTGTAGTTAGCATGGAAACTTCCAGCAGAAAGTTGTGCTCTGGGAATCGGATGGACCTCGTTGGGATCTCAAGTTTGCAGTTTATTAGCTATGACCCTCTGGACAAGTTGCTTTACTTCCCTGAGGCTCAATTAACTCATTAGTGAAATAGGTTGAGGGCTTTAAAATAGTGTCATATGTGCCAAGCCACTGCATTGTCTGCCACATACTGAGCGCTCAAAAAACGATACAGTTCAGGCTGAGGTCATAGCAAATGTGTCCACAATTAGACTAATGCAGCTGCCCTCATTTCCCTTTTATTCTGAGGAAAATTTTTGCTTTCTTTTATCACCAGGATGTAAGAGTAGACACATCTTAAGATACTTTGATCAAAGGAAACTTTGTTCCCTGGTATTTCTTTTAAGACCATCTGCAATAGGTTAGGGAATTAATAATAAGAGGTTTCTTCTGGTATGGCTGGTGAGTCCAGCCCAGAATCTCTAGAAATTGCCACATTTCCTGCATTGTATGAAATTAACAGGGGGTGACAGTACATAGCCACGCTGGGCTTAGCCGCACACCTGTAGACAAGTCCCCTGGACCAGTCTCTGATGTTAATGGCGCTATGCTTCTGAGTGGTGGCTGATGAAACATCCTGTCCTCTCTGGCCTTTCTCATCAACAACCACATCCCTACTCCCTTGGCATGCACCAAGGGGACCTGAAGGAGGTGATGCTTTAGAAAACAGAGCTATCCTCAGAACAAGCCCAGGCATGCATGAGCAAATGAACTCTGGGAATTCAGGATGGACGGAGCCCCACTGGCCAACCAAGGGGCGAGGCTGCCACCCAGGAAGTACACATTCCTTCTACGTGTGATGGTTTTGCCACATGCATACTGTCTTTTACCTCGGCCTCATTCCGTTCAATCACCAACCATGTACAGGAGACAGGATGGTGATCCTTGAGCTCATTAAGAAAAAGAAAAACACATATAAACAAAATCAGGTCGGGACAGTGACTCATTCGTCTAGACACATCCACACCAGCAGTGATGGGAACTCAGAACCAGAAATCAAGTCTTCCTACCAGGAAGCCCTGGGACCTATCTTGAACTGACACCATGTGCCAGCTGAGATTAGGCTGGACTCTGAGTAGCCCAAAGACACAATCGGTACCCCACAATTACCACCAAAAATAAGCAGTGTCAATGTGGCAGTTCAGGGGTGACATGATGGACCCCTGGTCATCAAGAGCCTGTATTTCTACTCCATTACCCTAGATTTACCTAGGTCTCCATTACCCTCCATTACCTAGATCTGTAACTAGGCCTCAGAATCACCTAGTTACAGAGTCCAAAGTTGCTGCTGGACAAGCCATTGCATTAGCATCCCAGGCAGCAGAGAAGCAGAAAGGAGGAGAGGGCTCACCTGTCCCTTTTGAGCCTTCCGGGAAGATTCAACACAATACTTAAACATGATTGAAACGCAGCCTTCATTTTGGAGCCATATGGCCAGGTAAAATTCATGATTATTCCTAGGGAGGGGGCGTGTTGATGGAGGTGACCAGTGGTCTTGGCCATGCTCCCTGCCCTCTTCTGGTTCCAAAGGGTGGGACCAGCCATGTGCTTATCACATTTTCCAGTGCCTTCTGTGTGCCTGGCAGTGCATGCCAGGGCAGGGAACCAAGGAACATCAGCCTGGACCCTCCAGGTTGGGGCGGCTCCTCTC